AACTAACTTCTGTGGGTTTTACATACTCTTTTATAAACTAGGTAGTAAAAAATATCTTACTGTGACAATTTATTCATTGAAATTTAATCTGTGATTTCCTAAAGCTCCAAACAGGGAAATAAAATATATCAATTTGTATAGTTCTACTTTAAAAAGGAGAATAAATGTATGAGTTTCTGTGGATTGTGGTAGAAATACTGAGTTACATAGTAGATCTTTCATTAACAACATACACTGAGTGGCCAGATTATTATGATCTTTGATCGCATAATAATCTGGCTACTCTGTGTGTGTGTGTGTGTGTGTGTATGTATGTGTTAGAAGCCCAGTGCATAAATTTGTGGATGGGTGGGGTCCAGCCAGCCTGGCCAGGGGGAGGGGACATAGGCTGTTGGCTGGCCTGCCTGCTGGTCGAACTCCTGGTTGAGGGGACAATTTGCATATTAGTCTTTTATTATATAGTATACAAACTGGCCAGATTATTATGCATCCAAAGATCATAATAATCTGGCCACTCAGTGTATGCTACATTAAAGAGAGGTGAAATGAAATTGTAAATTATTAAAATAGAAGCCTGATTAGGATATAAGTCCCAGAGATTGGAGTTGTGATGCTCAGAACTGTTATTTGGTTGTGGCCACAAAAAACAGAACCATGTGAGATGTTCCATGTCCAGGAATACCATTCTCTGAAACTCCCCGTCACCCTACTCCAATTCCCACCCCTTACACTGTGTAATTTTTACACTGATGTAAAAGGAGATATTTTAAAAGTTTTTTTGAATGATAGGGTAAATAGGAATTGATATAGAATGTCCCCTATCAGTCTTTTCTCAGTACAGCTCAGTGGCTTGGTACTGCCAAGAAATGGTTTATTTCAAGTTTTATGGATACTTCATATGGAACCAGTGTATGTTTTCTTTCTTTTTATCAATTTTTTTTCTTGCAATATTTCAGACATTTTAAATCATCAACATTTATTCCTATGGTAGATGTATCAGTACATGCTATGAAGTGATAGCCAAAACACACACATTTATGAAGAGGCATTTTTTGTAAGAAAATGGTATCAGATCCTAGTTTAGCTAATCAACTCATAAGTAGTGTCTGTCTTATTAGGTAATGGGGATTAAATGAATCAATATATGTAAAGTACTCACAACTGTACCTGGCATATAAGAGAGCATCAGGATACAGAATAATGTGAATATATGACACCATTTATTAAAAACTTTATATATATATATATATATATATATATATATATATATATATATATATATATATATATAATATAATATGGTGGATAAAATTATCTGGAAGAATAAATAAAATTGGAAATGGTTTCTTTGAGTAGGGGATAGAACCTGAAGTATCGATAGAAGGGGAAGATATATTTTGTTGTCAACTTTCTGAACTGTTCTTTTTTTAACCATATGTTTTTAAAATAATGCCATGTTTCAAGTACTAAGAGATTGTACTTTAAGACAAGAATCTATGCTCTTTTTAGATGGTCCTGCTGAGGCACCAGTGACCAATGGGAACACAACAACAGTGCCAGCTCTGAATGATGATCTGGACATCTTTGGACCAATGATTTCTAATCCTTTACCTGCAACTGTCATGCCCCCAGCTCAGGTATATTGTAAGAATATGGTTTTACACAATCACTACTTACTTCCTTTCTGAAAAGTTTCAGAATTTCCATTGCTGATTTGAAAGCCTCCTATTCTTTATTCCAGGGGTTGGCAAACTAAGCCTACAGCTTGTTTACACATAGTATTAGAATACAGCCACTCCCAGTATATTGTCTGTGGCTGCTTTCCTACTAAAAACTAAGTTGAATAGTTCCAACACTGTATGAATATTTACTGCCTAAAGTTTGCTAACTTTTGCTTTAGGTAAAACAATAGTATTTAGAATGAACAAGTAAGAAAACTCAGACTACTATTTCATCCTTGTCTGAGATCATCAAGACCACTTACCTCTGAGGTTTTTAAACTGGGGGTGTATAATTATTGACTGGCAGCCAATAGTTCTTTTCTTATGCTCTATTGAGCCTTCCCCAAAATACTATGTAGTAGTAAGAGTTTCAATCTACCTGCTCTACATTAATACATTCAAAATAGTAACTATCATACCTTTATCCTAGATGTTTTTGTGTGGCATTGTGAATGATCCTCTTTAATGCACCATTTACCTTCTACAAGTTGAATTTCTAATTTCATAATTGCTCTTGGATTTTAAGTAATGGATGAACCATGTTTTAGTATGCACAATTTGACAGTGTGTTTTGGTATTTGTCTCAGGGGACGTCCTCTGTACCAGCAGTCACCACTGTGTCTACAGTAACATCTGGGGATCTGGATCTATTCACTGAACAAACGACCAAGTCAGAAGAGGTGACAAAGAAACAACTCTCCAAAGACTCCATCTTGTCCCTGTATGGCGCAGGGACCGTGCAGCCGCAGAGCACTCCTGGTAATTCATTTTGAAGTCTGCTTTCAGGGACTGCACTGGCATTACTGGAAGTGAGCCTTTGTGGTTATAATATATTTTTTCCCCATTTTTCTATGTAATGAATGCTTTTGTTGTTGCAATTTACACAACTGAAATGAATGAAGCATTAGAATAAAAAGCAGGTACAGGAGTCACAAAACTTTATTCACTTAGAATTAACAAGCTGTTCACATATCACTTAATGTTGTTTCACAAGCTTTTAGGACATGGATTATCTTCGAATAATTATTTGAATTTGATTTGCATGAAGTTTATAACTGTACAGAATGGTATTTTTTCTGCAAGTAAACAATAAGCAGTCTGAATTATTACATGAATTCCAAAAACAGTTTGATATTTAAAAAATAATTTTAATACTAGCAAGGTAAGATTTGTTTACACAGTTTTAATCTGTCAGATTACCTCTTTTAAAATGAGATCCCACCTGCTTCCCTTAAAGCCAGGCACAGTGAACTTGCACCTGTGCGTTTGGTAGTGGGAGACCAGTGGTTTAGGTTAGCAGAAACAGCACATCAATCTAATGCCATGCAGGTTGGTCTTCACAATGGATATTGTTCTATCCATGTATTTATTCTGATAAAATTGCTCAGGTTCATAACTGATTTGTCTGCTTCTAAAAATATCCATCTCAGAGAGTGTAGGCTATGAGTTGGTCTGAAAAGCCAGACAAGAACTAAAAATTTTGCTATGGGTAGTTCAGAAAAATGGCAATTGTTTTTCTGTGATTATAGAATTGAGTGCAGCTATACAGTAGCCCTGTTCTCTTCATTTTCTTTTCATGGTTCTTATGATACAGGTGTATTTATGGGACCCACAAATATACCATTTACCTCACAAGCACCGACTGCATTTCAAGGTTTTCCATCAATGGGTGTACCTGTGCCTGCAGCTCCTGGCCTTATGGGCAATGTGATGGGACAGAGTGCAAGCATGATGGTGGGCATGCCCATCCCCAATGGGTTTATGGGGAATGCACAAACTGGTGTGATGCCACTGCCTCAGAATGTGATTGCCCCCCAAGGAGGAATGGTAGGACAGATGGGTGCACCCCCGAGTAAGTTTGGCCTGCCACAAGCTCAACAGCCCCAGTGGAACCTGTCGCAGGTAAGGATCTTTTATTCTCCACTTTATCCAGGATCGAAAAAATCAGGCTTAACTTTCTAAATTGTTTTATTTGTATTTAAATCTAGTAATCTGGCAGAAAGAGGAGGGATTATGAAGTTATATCAGACAAATGACCTGTCTTTGTCCCTATTTGATATTCTATTTGATATTCTATAAAGAATTTTTTTTCATTTCTAATATAACTGTAATGGTGGACATCCCTAATTTAGTTGTAACAGCTAGAAATTATCTTAGCATCTTAAGAAATTTTCTATCACCTTTGAAATTAGTAACATGTTTTGCCCAGCTTCCTGTGGGGCGTTTTATAGTCTACATTGGACCTACCTGTCTTCACTAATTTGAGAAGGGGTGTAACTTTCATAAATTAGGGGAAAATCTTTCTGTTCAAAAATCTCTATAACATATTTCCTTTTTACTTATCCTGTAATTAGGTTTATATTTAAGAAGAGTACCCGCTAGTTCAAGAATTCCCATAAGATGTGAACAAGTCCATATTTATTTTATATCCCTTCATATTATAAAATCCTGTTTCTACCTAAGTTAGTTTAGTCCAAGATATGACATTACTAGTACACTACCTCCTTCAAATGAATTTCTCTATATTAGGTGCTCTGTCCTGACTTTTCTCCCCTTTACACTTCCTCTTTGGTGAGATTTCACCTGTTTTTAGCATTTTGGCTCCTGTTCTAGACAGGTGTTTCACCTTGAGAGCATTCAAGGAATAGTCAATAATGATTTTTAACCAACATTAGCAAAATCACTATGTATCCTATGAATGCTCCCAAGTTATTTTTACTATTTAAAGGAATATCTATATGACACTGGTCTCTCATCTCTGGGAATCTTAAAAAAATGGTAAGTACCAAGTGGCAGTAACAGCTTGTGTGTGCCACAATGCTGAAGTAAGCTCAGGTTAATGTGCTGGATGAACCAGGAAGGAGCCAACCCTTACTTCCAGGCCTGCTGGAGGCTGTTCTCCAGTACTCCGTACATGAGAGCTATTGGCCATCGACAAGGTAGCTAAAACAACCTTGAGTAAGTATCGGAACTGATCTGCCGCTTATAGGAGACACTTATACCTCATTAGAGTAGTCAATACTCTTTCCTTAACCTGTCATCTTAGAAGTTAAGAACCACAAAGAAGGGTTAAGATGCTTATATACATACATGACTCCAGTGGAAGAAAACATTAAATCTTATACCTTATCAAATAATTATAATTTTAGATGTTTGACCTTTAATATTTACAAGGTATATAAAACCATTTAAGATGTTTTAAAACTGAATAATAGCTATAATACACAAGTTTTAATTTTGGAGTATTTTACCTTCTAAAATTTCCTTAGTTTTTAGTAAAGCACTTCTTGAGTTGAAAGAATATTGGACTCATTATACCTAGATACAAATTGAAAGATTGCTTTGGCACTTTTTCAGTTGTGATTAATTTTTTGGGACAAGAAATTGAGTCTAGAAAATGAATAAATACAGTGCTAAAAATGGGGGGAAAAAAGCTGTAGTTGCTTTCTGCAGAGAAATAAGCATGTGATGGTTTGCTTTTACCAAGGAGCTTTGACTGACTTTTACATGGACAAAAAAAAAAAATACTCATTGTAATTGCTATTAAGCTTCAGTATCTCCTTGAGACAGCTTCTAATAAAATCGGGTACCTTAAAAACTGTCTAACTTTGGTTAAAGAAATAAGATTTAAAAGTGAAGTGAGCTGCTTAAACAGCCCTGTGTTACCTCACAGGTGAACCAGCAGATGGCTGGCATGAGTATGGGCACTGCGAGCCCGGCGCTGGGCTTTGCCCAGCCCCCCAACACCACAGCAGGATGGTCTGGAAGCTCATCGGGTCAGACTCTCAGCACACAACTGTGGAAGTGAGGACTGCACACGAGTCTCATCCAGAGCTACCACCTACATTCCTTGCTGAAATGCATCTAAGTTCCCCTGTTTATCCATGTACATATATATTTTTTCTTTTTCCCCATTTGTTCACATTAAGAATTACCTGATTGACTGTGTTGGTTTGTACTGATTAAATTTGATGTGGTGAAAAGCAGGTTGAGAAACTATTTTATGTCCAGGGCAGCTTTGCTCATAGTTCCCATAACTTCATAAACCACATTATTTGAGAAGCTGCTCAGTCAACTTGCATAATCAGTCTTACTCGATAAAATTATAGCTCTAATGTTTGCATATAAGGAAAATAGTTATCATGTTAGTAATACCTCTAACAGTATAAACCCCACCCCCAAATTAGCCAGTAATCTCGTAGGAAGGTACTGTATGATCAAATGGTTAATCATAAATAGAATGTAAATGTATCACTGAGCACTGTTTTCTAGTGTATCAAATTCTTTTATTTCATCATTTCCTTCACTGTGCTATTGTTATGATGTGCTTAACAGGGAATGTGGTTAGTGAAAGGAAGATAAACCTGGATGCTACTGTAAAACTTAGTTTAACAATATTTAAAGAATTTGAATTTTATCCGCCTCTTGTAATTTGGATCTCCTCTTATGTACATAGTGCTAATATGAAGATCTTTCTCTGCACTATATGCAAACAGGGTAACTAAACAAAGCCACTTTCAGTCCTTGAAGGTATATCCAGGTTTATGACAGTAATTGTGTTTACATTTTATGGTGCCTAGTATTGACAAAATGTTCTATCCCTATATTAAATAGATGAATCCATAGACTTTTTTTTGTGGGTTTCATTTCCTACAGTGTATACTGCCATCAACCTTATATAAATTACTTAATGTTGCTAAGTCAGGAATTGGGGACAAAATATTTGTCATGTTTCTAAAACCTGTTTAGTTCTACCAAATATAAGGCCAAATGGGGAAAAAAAGAAAAGTATGTAAGATACTAAAAGTGGTACCTGCAGTGTCATTAGCTGTACTGTACAAAGATCTTCCAGTTTAGTTGTAGAGAAAACATGCAGAACAAATGAAGACAAACACATTTTATACCAACTGATTAGCTTATGTTAACTGACAAGCTCTGTCTAAACAGATGTCCATCAGATGTCAATAAAGGCTGTTGTACTGAAGTAAAATGAACAATACCTGAATGCTCTGTAGCCTATTCTCCACACATCCTCTTCCACACCCACTGCTGCTCCCATTCACACCTCGATCTTCACTGTGTCCAGGTGGTACTTGGGCTCGTTGGCTAGATTAACCTTCTCTGTGCGAGTATGCCACACGAGGACCTAGGGAGGGAGGGAAATCTGTGGGGTAGCCAGACTCAACGCCAGCATCAAGCAGCTACACCAAGCAGCACATGTGAAGTGAATACCTTGGTGCAGTTATTTGCTTTCGGTTCCAGTTCTTCAATGGTGGTTATCTGTTTTAGAAAGTCAGATTCTTGCATCCCTGGCTGGGATCCACGGCGCTTAAATACAGCTTTGGGGTTGGACAAGATGACTTGAAGGCTTACAGCAAATCCTTTGTGAGAAGTTTAAAAAAAAACCCAAAAAACATAAAAAGAAACTTTAAAACATTGGTATACTTTTCTTTTTTCTATATAACCTTGGTCATATCAAGAGCAATTTTATATGCTACTATGTGCCAGGACCTAGTTCACAAAGTTGAAAAGGAGCATTACCTGTATTTCAGTCTTAAGAAGAAAAACAGACATTACAATACAGTGTGCTTGGTGCCTTCACAGAGGTGTACACCGGCGGGGTGGGGATCTGTGAACAGTCTAGTCTTGATAATAAAGGGTGGATTCTACAAGCTGCTATTTCACAGAAGTCATCACACCCAACAGTAGACACTCTGGGGACAGCTAAGACTAAAGGTAGCAGGAAAGCATTCACACTCAGCCTAATTGAGCTCGAGGTAATTATGCGAGAGCCCACCCAGTTCTGCCTCCTTTAACATCTCTGGATAACACACCACCGCTGGTTTTCCTTGAGTTTAGAAGACAGGGATAGAAGAAAGTTTGCTAGAACATTAATAAATACTTGGTTGGTTCCTGGTGTGGTTCAATCTGAAAAATGTGGGTGGGTTGGAAATCTGTAGGATATATTAGGCCATTTAATACATTTGTTTTTTTTAATATTTCATTTAAAAAATATGTAGTTTTATTAATTTCAGAGAGGAAGGAGAGGGAAAGAGAAACATCAATAAGAGAATAATTGATCGGCTGCCTCCTGTTCGCCCACACTGGGGATTGAGCCTGCAATCTGGACATGTGCCCTGACCTGGAATGAATCTGACCTGGTTCATCGGTTGACACTCAACCACTGAGCCATCCAGGTCGGGCAAAAAAAAAAAAAAAAAAATCACTCCTGCTCCCAGGCCCTTTCCTGGCTTCCCTGGCCAAGGGCATGGCCCTGAAAGGCTGGCACCCAGCAGAGATTTGAGCAGGCAGCTGACCAGAGGAGCCAACTGGTTTTCTAGTTTCTATCACACAGTGGGGTGGGGCCGTTCAGATGCTCTTCACTCCCACCTCCCCTTTCTCTGCCAGGCTCCAGCTCAGTGACCTGGCAGCAGGCAGGTCCCAGGGAGCACAGCACACAGGAAGTGCTAACTAGGCCAAGCCCTGGCTGCCTTCTGGGGAATCGCCTGACCTGCTGTGAAGCTGGGAGAGAGCCCTCCCTCCGGAAGCAGATTTTTAGCTCCTAAGCCATTGCTTTCAACCCAAGATGGATATCTTGACTTGTCTCCATTTCAAACTGTATCTGCCTCAAAGATTACATTTACCCTTCACTATTTTTAGTGAAATTAATTTAGCTTTACAGATGTTTGCAGCGGCTATTGAGATATCCTGAGCCTTATAAAAATCATGGGGGTAGGATCCTCTGTCCTGGTCAGTTGTGTAAAACATAAAGTACAAATTAAACCTGGTTATGCTATGAACACGGGCTTTCCTGACTTCCAGTGGCATGGGGAACGGGTAAGGATATATCCCCTCTCGGTCAGAGGGACAGGGCCTGCTTTAGTAGGTGTTTATTGGTTAATAAATGGAAACATTTGGAAGACATTCAAAGTCCAACAAATAATTTCCGTTTGGGGACAAGATGGAGCAACAAGGGCTGGGTTTTCCCAACTGTCTTATCTATGTCCAGATAAAATGTTTGGGAAAAGAGGCGTGCAGGACAAAGATCTCTGAAAAAGAAAAAGCAGCACAAGCCCTACAATTGCCTCGGCTTCTTGTCTGAAGGGAGTAGTCCACAGGCTCCACCGTGGGGAGGGAACTCAGCTCTGCTCTGCAGTCCCTAAAGCTGAGGAAACACAGCAGGAGCCCCAAGAGAGCCAGCCTCTGGTCTGCAGAGGGCTCTGCTCACGTCTGACTGAAGATCAGGAAATGCTCTTGGAACTCCCTGTGGCCCAGTCAAGAGCCCGGAGAGAAGCAGGCGGGCTGTTCTTGGCGCGCTCAAGGCTGGGTCAGGTCACACTCCCAACAACCAGAGTGGAATGGTAGATGGGGAACCTGGAAGAGGAGCTGGAAGATTATTGTGTTCACTGTGGGGTCACATTAGCCCTAACCTAAAGATTGAGCTGCCTGTCAAACCTTCAAGAGCCAGCCCGGAAAGGATCACAATGCTTCTGAATAACTTATAGTTGTATCCCAGAAAAATGTAAAGTACACAAAAAGGGGAGGCAGTGCAGATGTGTTTCACTCCTAATGTGGATGTGTGTGTATAAATGTATGTATACATAATATATAAAACAAATGAGCATGTATCTTTATAGTACCTAGCAACATAAAACTCAAAATGCCTGATACAAAAATTCCCAGGTGTACAAAGAGACAAGACACTACAATCCTGTAAATAAAAGAAAAATCAGTCAACAGAAACAAACCCAGAAATGACATTGGTGGCAGAATTATAGAACAAGGGCATTAAAACATTATAAATATTCTTCATATATTCACAAAGGTCAGGGGAGATTGAACATGCCAAGCAGAGATATGGAAGACATAAAAAGTCCAAAAGTGCTGGCCACAGTGGCTCAGTGATGGAGCATTGACCTATGAACCAGGAGGTCTTGGTCTGATTCACAATCAGGGCATATGCCTAGGTTGTGGGTTCAATCCCCAGGAGGGGGTATGCATGAGGCAGCCAACCAATGATTCTCCCTTGCCCTTCCTCTCTGAAATCAATAAAAATTTACTTAAAAAATAAGGCTCAAAGTGATCTCATTGTGATGAAAAAATATGTCTTGAGATGAAAAACCTACTGGTTAGGATTAACACATGATAACACATTAGAAGACAATGACAGAAACTACTAAAAGGAAACACAAACACGCATGCAAATACAGAAACAGAGTAAAGGAATGAAAGGTGGGAGAAGGTGATAGAAACATATATTTGAAGAAATAACTGAAAATTTTACAATTTTAAAAAATCCCAAGGCTACATAAGACAGACAATACTAAGAACCAACTTGACATTCACAGAGCAAGCCACCCCAGGCAGAATGCACAAAAGTACACATGGTACATTATCAAGATAAGCTTATAGTAGGGCCATAAATCAAGTCTCAATAAATTTAAAAGAATACAGCTTGTACAAAGTATTTCTCTGACCATATGGAATTAAAATAGAAATCAATAATATAAAGACATCTAAGAAAATCTAATATTTGGAAACTAAACGACATAATTCTAAAGATATGGCTCAAAGGAGGAATCAAAAGGGAATGAAAACAGAACAAGCCACCAAAACCTATGGATGGCATTTACAGCAGTATTTACAAGGAATATGAGCATTTTTTAAAAGTACTAAGCACTTTTATTAGATAAAAAGGAAGGTCTTGACTCAATATCTTAAGTTCCTGCCTTTATACACTAGAAAGAGTACATGAAACCCAAAGAGAATAGTAAGAAAATATATGAATAACTAAAAGAGCCAAAATCACTGAAACAGAAATGGAAACCATAAAAGAGATATGTGAAATTTAAACCATGCCCTTAGGGGGAAAAGGTCAACAAAACTGATAACATCTACCCATGCTTAGGGAAAAAAGAGAATACACAAATTACCAATACCAGAATGAGGGAGGAGTAGCAGTACACATTCTATAAAAGATTCAATTGATAACAAAGAAGTATTATGAGCAACTTTGTGGCAGTAAATTTCAAAATATAAAAATGAACAAATTCCTTGAAAGATATAAGCTATCAAAGCTTTCATTATCATGAAGAAATGGTCCGAATAGCCTTTTACCCATTAAATAAATTTATAGCTGAAAATCACAATCCTCCTCAAACTATTCCAAAAAATTCACAAAGAAGGAAGACTCCCAAGCTAATTTTACAAGGCCAGCATTATCCTAATTCCAAACCCTACACTACACAAAAAGAAAATTATAAGCCTGTTTCCCTGATGAACATAGATGCTAAAATCCTCAACAATATATTAGGAAGATCATACATCAGGAATAAGTGGGATTTATTCCAGGGATGCAAGGTTGGTACAATATTTGCAAATCAATAAATGTGATACATCACATAAAATGAAGGGTGAAAACACATGATCATATCAATAGATACAGGAAAAGCATTCGACAAAATCCAGCACCCATAAAGATAACTCTCAACAAAGTGGGAATTGAGGAATCATACCTCAACATAATAAAAGCCTTACATGAAAAACCTTTAGGCAATGTAATACTCAATAGGCAAAAACTGTTTCCCTTAAGATCAAGAACAAGACAGGGATGCCCACTTTCACCACTCTTATTCAACACAGTGTTGGAAGTCATAGCCACAACAATCAGAAAAGAAGAAATAAAAGGCACCCAAATTGGGAAGGAGGAAGTAAAACTTATTTGCAGATGACAAGGTATTGTATATAGAAAACCCTAAAGAACCCACCATAAAATACTAGATTTAATAAACTGGCAAGTAGTAGGATACAAAATCAACATCTAGAAATCAATGGCATTTTTATATCCCAATAATGAATTCTCAGAAAAGAGAACCCAAAAAGCCAATCCCATTTGCCATTGCAACAACAACAAAATAAGATACCTAGAAGAAAACATAAGCAGTAAAATCTGAGACATCTCTTGGAGCAGTATTTTTGCTCATTATGTCTCCGAGGGAAAGGGGAAATAAACAAATGGGACTACATCAAATCAAAAAGCTTCTGCACAGCTAAAGAAACCATCAGCAAAGCAAAAAGGTAATCCACAGTATGGGAGAACGTATTTGCCAATGATTCATCAGATAAGAGGCTAATCTCCAAAATATATAAAGAAGTTATACAACTCCAGAAACACACAATCCTATTTTAAAAAATGGGCAAAGGCTTGACTAGACATTTCTCCAAAGAGGACATACAGATGCCCAAGAGACGTAAGAAAAAAATGCTCAAGGTCACTAATTATCAGAGATGTATCACCTCATACCTGCCAGAATGGCTAACATTAATAAGTCAACAAAAAATAAATGCTGCCGAAATCAGTTTGGCTCAGCGGTAGAGCGTT